GAGTTTACAGTAATGCACCATTCTCAGTGCAAAAAAGATCAGATTTTCAAGTATCAAATTATCATAATCAATAAAGTAAAATTTTTAGCTATATCTTGATCTTTAACATAAGACTGTCTATGCCTTATTTTCCCCAGGTGTTCATGAAATTTCTTTCACAAAAATTGATCATAATGAAAATATTAGAAAATTAGGTAATAAGGAAATATTCCAAATAACACTCCCTGATCATGTGCTATAGCACTAGAAATTATTGACAAAACTGAAAAAGGGAAAGGCACAACCACATAAAAATTAAAAACTCTTTTCTTAAAAGACTTTTGGTGCTGACGTTGCTGCTGTGGAAAGAGAACTAAAGGTCTCTTCTCTGGGCACCACCTCGGTTACCTTGCTACTTCCTACTATCTTCATAGTCACTGCCGCTGAACCGTAAGTCTCCTGCCAATCAACTGCCACCTGCACCAATACCACCATTGCTGCTGCCTCTGATTCCATGCTGCTGCCTGAGGTCGCCTGGAGGTCTTCTTTCTGGGTTATGCTGCCAAAGAAGACACCACTGCCCTGGATGCAACTGAAGCTGATCCCCAGCCTGGTGATGCTGCCCCCACAGCTGCAGTTGCAGCCACCGCTGCAGCCGCCACTACTGCTGACCTGCTGCCTGCAGCTAACAACCACTGCCACTACTACGTCTACCACGGCCTAGAGGACTGCTTCAGGGGAGACTCCAAGTTTGAGTGCATGAGGCTGCACCCATTTTGGGACACCACCCAGGGCCTGGGGCCCGGATGCCAGCAGGTTTACCACCACAAGAACCTCTATCTGGGGACTCCCTCCTGGAGGAGACTGTGATCTTCCTGCTAAGAGTGCTGGTGGCCCTTGTCTTGCTGCTGCATCTCGGGGTTGCTCCTTTGCATTAGTATATCCCTAGTGGTCTTACTGCAAGTAGGAGCAACATTGAGATCTTGGGACTGCAGCGTAGCCTGAGGTATGTGAAGCTCAGATTGGTGGGATAGAGACTGGGTTTTCGAGGGCTGATCTGGGTTTGGTGATCCCCAGAAATGTCAAAGACAGGCTGAGAAACTGTTGAAAACTGACAGAGACTGTTCAACTTTCCAGGAAGATTTATTATTTTATTTTATTTTACTTTTTGATTTGCTAATCTCTCTACCATATTTGGAACAGGATGGTTTTTATGCATCAGTGGGTGGAGGAGAACGATACATGAATGTTGTTTTGCATTTTTGTTGTATTCTTATGTCTTTAATTTTTTCTCTTTGTTCATATTCTTCCTCTCTCTTGTCTGTTTTCTTGGATTTTCTTTCCAACTTTTCTCTAACCAACAGCCAATCTCTGTTAGCTCCTCTTTCATTCTTCCTGTGAATTTTTACTTCTAGCTTCTCTCTTCCTCCCTCATGAATATTGCATATTACACTACCTCTGTTCTCTCAATCCACCATTTGAAGTTGTAAACCATTTTAACAAATTTTCTCATCATTTTGGTTTAATGCGAGAAAGCAGTAGATGCCTTAGTGAGAGTTATTAGATTTAAGGCTATATATTGTGTTCACTGGATGCTGTTGATATTGGCCTCACCATTAAAGGCGAAGAGCTAGAAACCTTCAGGAACACTGTAGGTCTAGAGGGTAGAATTTATGCTGCCTTAGATCCATATTTTTAGATGGGAAAACACACTTACAACATGAAAAAAAAAAAGGGAATAAAGCGCCCCAAACCAACCAAGATACTTCAACAACAGAAGCCACTGATAACACAGTAGAAGAAATGTCTAAGAAAGAGTTCAGATTGTACATAGTTAAATTGATATGTGAAATAAAGGATAGTATAAGGAGTGAAATCAAAGAAAAAATACAGGAAGTGAAAGACTACTTCAATAAAGAGATCATGAAAAAAAAACCCAAGCAGAACTAATCAAAATGAAGGAATCAATAAACCAAATTATAAATTCAATAGAAAGCCTCACCAACCAACTAGACCACTTGGAGTACAGAACCTCAGACAATGAAGACAAATATATAATATATAATCTTGAAGGTAGAGTTGACCATGCAGAGAAGATGGTAAGAGACCATGAACAGAGCATCCAAGAATTATGGGATAACATGAAAAGACCAAACTTAAGAGGTATCAGAATAGAGGAAGGAGCGGATATACAAACCAAAGGAATACACCATCTTTTAAATGATATAATAGCAGAAAATTTCCCAAACCTAAAGAATGGAATAAAAATCAAATACAAGAGGCTTACAGGACACCAAATGTACAAAATTACAGCAGACTCACACCAAGACACATTATAAAAACAATGACAGAGAATAAAGATGAAATCTTAAAGGCTGTGAGAGAAAAAAAATTACGCATAGGGGGGAAATAATTTGGATGTGGGGATAGGAAAGATAGTAGAATGCCATTATTTTCTTCTAAAACTGTACAAGGCTAGCTAAAATTAAACAGGTAGACATACTCAAATCATTAAAATGATATTAAAGGATATCATCAAAGTGAAAAAGTACAGAGTTGTGTGAGGGAAAAATGGATAAATGAAAGCACAATCAGGGGAGGGTCTTGTGAATCAAAAGAAAAGAAGGCCAAAAAGGAAATGCACTGATATATCACAGAACTCTTATTATCAGTAAAAGAAGATAAGTTCATCACTTTGGTGTGTTGCCAGATGTTGAAGCCCCTCAAGACCCTGCTTCTGTGACTTCCTGGAATACCAAATGCAATTCATGTCTGTATGGCATAATGTCCTGAGAGTATGCTATATGTTACTTGAGAGCATTTCTAACCTACACACTCTAGGGATCAGATCAGATGTGATTGTTAGAGACACCTTAACCATATATTTTTATTCACCTAAATTATCTCATCTATTGGGTCTTGGGGGTTGGGGAACACCTGAGAACAAATGATGTTTAAGAACAATACCACACAAATCAGTGTAACAGAAGGCAAACAACACCAGTGTTTATAGAACTCAGATACAAAGTCACTTCCCTCCTAGTCAGTGAATTTCAAATAAGCAGGAAAAGAAAAATTTACGAAGGAGCTGGATCCAAGAGATCTAAAAGACTCTAAGGATCTGGATGACAATGGACAGATAAGTTTGGAGGTCAAATAAAGTCCAGCCATCTGTTAGAAAATTGGCTAAAACATAGGTCACATATCCAGGACCAGAGCTAACGGGGGAAGAAAAGCAGATGTTTGATGAAGTTATAAGAGAAAGCATGCAACTATCTGGATCTGGTTTGACATGTAGTAAAAGGCCATGAAAATGAAATTACTTTTATTATCTTTAATAATATCCTGTATTACTCTTACAATTCTAGGGAGTTTCAGTCTGGAAAATGAGATTTACTTTTTATGTTAGAATCCTGGCTTCTACTTTTCTGTTTTATCATTTAAATCCTTCCCCAAATATGCTTAGAAAATAATAAAACACCTGATTATTGCTTTGGACTTAGGAAAATGGTTAAAATGAGACTAAGCAGATCATTCCTGGTCTTCTTGCTGATTATGTATTCTTATAGACATTTAATATAGTAATATGCACCTAAAACTATTTGTTCCATGATGTATAGAATAAAAGAAAGTTGAAACTTATTATAACTCATAAATTCAATGAGAAACATGAATGGAAAGCAACAGAACAAGGAGAAAAAATATTGTCTTTGCCATCTTAGTACAAACATTTTTATTTTGCATGTACAGAAATTAAGGGAAACCTATATCCAATCCAATGCAGCACATCCATGTTTAATCACCAGCTCACATGGCTGATTATTTCTAAAATGAAGACAGATGACAGGTATTTCACCGCCTCACACAGAGCAAATGAGGAGGAAAGGGACACTTAGCCAGCCAGCCTGTGAAGTCTTGGAACACACTTGACGTCATCCATGTTTGGAAAAACAAAGATTACAGAACCCCCAGGCAACCAGACCTATGCCTTGGAAAATACCAACTGGTCCATCTCTTTGAAAAAGATGCTACTCAGATGGTGTGTTTTTTTCATAACTGTGAAGACCTGAATTCTTATTCTCATTTCATCTCACATCCATAATTCTTCAGTCTTTTTGACACACTTAGAAGGCAATGTAACTCTTAGAGTTTTATTTTTCTTTCTTCTAGGTCACCTCCTTTCTTCTTTCCATCCAATTCCAAGCAATAATCAACTATTTGTCTCCCTTCTTGACCTTTACATAATCTTTGACCTTGTAATTATGGCACTGTAAAATAAGAGCTCCTACCAACCCAGAAAACAGTCATTTGGGAAGTTTGTGTACATAGAATTCAGTTTACAGTGAGGGAGTAAGCAAAAATGACTATGAAACAGACAATTCCCTATCTAATATCCAATGCCTTGTCTATATTTATTTTATAGTCATGTCTGAGTTATCTAATTTTGAACACTGATTAAAAACGGCAAATTACATAGTCTAATATTTTGAAAAAAATAGACTGTAGCGAACTTGGCATTAACATACACACCTAATTTGGAAAGGGGCAAGAACTAATCCTGATCTGAGTCTGATGACCTAGACTAGCAAACCTGTAACACAAGCTAAGTACCATTTGTAACTAGCATAGGTAGTATAAAATGTTGGGAAGGATTCTCAGAGTCTTATCTCATCTCCTTCCCATTATAGGAACTTTAATCATGACATTCCCTTCCAGGGACAATCTGGTCACTGTGTGAAAACAAGGATGTCTGGCTACCTTCCAAGGAAGCCTATTCCACTTTTAATAAACATTTTTTAGAAGGCTCATTATTAAAAAGCCAGCAACAGCTACTCTATAACTTCAATTTCTTGATTCTAGCTCTTTCACTTAACCAGCACTTACAGAGTAATTATTCTTGGTAGTAGACAATATAGAATATAAAATACATCTGCCCTTTATCCACCTCGAAAAGCCCATGAACAAGAGCTTCCCTTGCTACTGGGTCCCTTTCTGCCTTCTCAAGCCTCAGTATTACTTACCTGAATCACACCTCCCAGGAAGGAAACAGCTGCAGCAACTCCAATCCTTTGTACCTCAAAGTCAGATAAGCCTAGTACACTGGAGTTGCTCTGCGTGGTGAGGTTCTGGCTGCTTTGAGGGACTAGCCGTTCCACAGCATTGGCTGATATTAAGGATGTCAAGGCAAAGGTGCCTAAAAGGAGATGCAGAGAACCTTCAATTAGTAACTCAAGAAAAACGATATAATCAAAATTGTTGAATTCTACCATTAAAGTTGATGCCATATTGCAAAGCCAAACAGATCTATGAGAAACAATATCTGTATCCCCACTTCACCTTTCACCCCTCTCTATGAAAGAAGTAGATACATGCGTTCTCTGTATACATAAACATTCGTTAACAGGCAATCATACTCATCTATCTGCTATGACCTCCTGGGCCATGTATTTCCCTTCCTCTCTGCATACTGGCATGGAAAATGTCCTAGGGGCAGTGGTTAAGATTGTGGCCTGCATTTAAATCCAGTACCTCAATTTATCAATAATGTGACCTATAGTGCCTTACTCTGGGTCTAAGTTAGCTCATCCATTAACTGGGGCAATTAATAATACCTATATTTCAGGGTTAGGGGAGAACTTAAAGGAGGTAAGTTCAAAGACCTCAGTAAACTCAGTAGTTACATATGAACCCTTTGATTGAAATGCTCCTATGCAGATGCTACTTATCTTTCAATGCTGGCTGCTATTCGATATTCACAAGGATCTGTTCTAGTTACTCCTGACCAGGCTTAAATCTTTCTCCCTACTATGATCTCATAACCAAGTGTAGCTTTATTATAGTATAACAATGTCCTGTGACTCATAAAATGATTAAATATACATTTACTGCTGCTAGATAAGGCTGGCAATATTTACCAAGAATCTCCTTGCCTTCTGCATGTGTGGGACCATGTTCAGTGAGTGCCCTTTTCCTATAAAGAGTTCCTATGCCTGTCATCTTGGTAAAGACTGCCTGAAATGCTGCCGCTTGGATGGGGAAATGCTCATTCCCACAGAAAGGCTCAGAAAACTTGGGTTTAAAAAAACAACACTACTGCACTGTGCAAACATCCCCCCAAAATCACTACTTACAATCTTATTTTGCTCCAGGTTATAATGGAGACTGCAAAAAATGGACTTGACAAGATGTCCATAGAACACAAAGCATGGAGTAGCACAGGGCAAGCAAAACAGGACTCCAACAGATATGAGTCTCAATGGAACATACCTCCCTACACACACACACACACACACACACACACACACACACACAATCTTCTTGTCTCAATGGATAAGAGGCTTTAAATAAGAAGGGCAGGATGTGCTGTGGATTTAGAACAATGTGGTGATTATAGATTCTAATGAAGGTGGCCTTAAGTCCCAGAACTGTCACCCTTCAACCTCCTTATCTGTAAACAGATGGCATTTCTCACCCAATGGGGTTGTTATGAAGCTAAAAATGGGATAATAAAATACAGCACATATCAAATAGCAAACATCTAATCGCATGTGGTTAGCTCCTAATAAATGTTAGGCAGACAATTCTTAGTAAGATTAAGATCAGATTGCTCTCTTATGGTCTGTTATTCTTTACTCTTAGAGTTGATGGTCCATAAACATATATGGAAAATTGAAGAGTTCTTTTAGTGAGCAAAGTCATCCTCGATAAATCATAAATAAATCATCTTGATTATTGTCCTCAACAAAAAAAACTAAATTAAGAATGCATCCAGGAATGAATATATCTGATGATGAGAGATAAGATTCTAGCACCCAGGATAGTGACTATTAAGGAAGGAACATTCACTATAGAATCTTATCTTGATAAGATATATTTTTCAGGATGTGTTACAGCAGGATTGTCCTGAAAGTGAATCAGATGTTGCTTTAAATCTTTAAATCTCCTGGACCACAAAGCAAAATGATTGTTTATTTTTATTTCTTATATTATCTTCCTAAGTTTTCTCTAAGTTGTTCATTTTTCTTCTCCCAGAAAAGCCATTTAGATGGCCCTTCCTCATGTACCAAAAAATTGTCCAATTTAAAGACAAGTAAATCTGAATTGTCACATATTGGTTGTCTTCCTTAGTTCTGTTTCCATTGGATTCTTACCCATGTTTCCATCTTTTCCTTTTATAGCCAAAGGAATAAGTTAATTGATTATTTCTTGTCACAGAAATTATATCTATTTTTTACTTTATAGACCATAAGTTTCCTACAGCTGTTAATAATTTATTAAATAATTTGTTAGTTGAAGTCTTATATAAATGGTAATTTCAAAACTACTCAACCAACAAATGTCTTCAGTGATTTCCTAGGTAATAAAATGGTTTATGTAAAGGTACATGTACATATTATCAAACTGTACATTTTTTACTTCGTAATGTAATTATGGCCTATTGGTAAACTTTGTTTTGCCTTTTCTTGTGTTAAACAGAGGGAATTCTGTGAGGTCCATTCTGAAGCTATAAGCCAGTCAGTTTTTTCTAAGAACATATTAAAATCTTTCAAAAATGAAAATAAACTATTCAGAAATGAAAAAGCAGGATAATTAACTAATAAGCTTTACGAATGTCTAATTCATTATTGTGTTCTTCTTTTGCATTAATATAAAAGAAAAGTTCATTCTAAAATACCACATTGTCAAGAAAAGAAAAAAGAAAAAAACTTAGGCTTTATATTTGGCCACCTCTGAATTGTAAACCATGCACCTCTGACTTTAATTTGTGCCCTCCCAGGAAGTTTTCTGAATTTCAGAGTTTGTGGTTGTTTTTATTTTCTTTTTAATCTGAAATATGCAGATAATAATGCCCACTTAATAGGTAAGAAATAGAACAAAGTAACATGTAATGCTCTTAATAAAGTACCTAATGAATAGTATATGAATGGTTTTGAAACTTATGTATACATAAAGATGAATGCATATGCATACATATATATATATATATATATATATATATATATTTTATATACATACATATATATATATATAATGTTGATATTTTATATACAGGCATGTATATAACAGGGATTCATTATAAGAAATGCATTGTAAGCAATTTCTCTTGGGCAAATACCATCATTCATAATTGTACTTACTCAAACTAAGATAGCTATGGTGTCACTAGGTTCTTATTATGGGATCATGTTCTTCTATGTCATTTATTGTTGACTAAAATTTCATTATGTGGCTCTTGACTATGCATATGCGTGTATGTAAAACTTGGAGATTTTGTGAAAATGCTGATTGTATTTCAGTAGGTCTGAGGTAGAAACCAAGGTTTTGTGTTTCTAACAAACTCCCATGCAATGCAGATTCACAGAGAAGAGTTTAGGTAGCAATACTTTAAATGATGGTTTGCTGTCAATCCTTCCCCATAACAAAGTTATGGATATAAAAAACCAAACATTACACACAAAATATTTTATGAAAAATTTTATGTGTCAATGTGGTAAGCAAAACTATGTCCCCCAAATATGTCTACATGCTAATCCCTAGAACCTGTGAACATGCTATGCTCCTTGGCAAGGAATAATTCATGTTACAGATGAATTAAAGTTTGATAATCAGTTGACCTTAATTTAAGAGGATTACCCTGGATTGTCTATGTATATCCAATGTAATCACAAGGTTCTTTAAATATGGAAGATGGAGGAAAAAGATGAGAGTCAGAGAGAGATTTGAAGATGCCATAATGCTGCCTTGAAGATGTAGGAAACATCTAGAAGACAGGCAAGTCAAGAATATGCATTCCCTCCTAAGAGCTTCCAGAAAGGAATGAAGCCCTGCTGACTCAATTTTAGTCCTGTGATACTCATTTCAGATTACTGATTTCCAGAACTGAACAATAACTTTGTATTGTTTTAAGCCACTAAACTCATGCTAATTTGTTACATCAGCATTAGGAAACTACTACAATCAATAACACAAAGTGATCCCTGAAGATATGGTTGCAAAATGATTAGAGGCTAAGATCTGACACATAGAAAATATATAGAAATGTGTATATATTTCCATTTTAAAGTACTTTATTAGTATTTAAGATTAAAGTGTCATTTTTAATAACAGCTAACTTTATTAAACTTTATGAAACAAGTACTAAATTAGACACTGTTCATCAATTATCTAGTTCTCAGTATGATTATATGAAATTCAGCAGGAGGGCATCTTACTATTAAGGAAGAAGCAAATAGAGCTAGCTTTAAAATTTTGTCCAGATCACATAGATAGCAAACAAAAAAGGAGACCTATGCCCAAGTTTAACTAACACCAAACCAGCCTTCTGTAGTAGCAGAATAATCATGACTGCTCATGTTTTAAGGCAAGATACATACCAATTAAAGGGTATTACAGAATCTAGCCTGGAAGAAACCTAGAAGATCATTTAGCCCAAATATCAAACACATGTGTAAGACATTTTTCAGTATTTGAATTACTAAATTTTATAGTCTTTGTGTTTTCCTTCAAGTTCTTACTTCCTCTTATCTCATTGTAAACCCTCCCCCTCTTTCATGGTCTTTATTTTTTAATTGGTACTGGGGATTGAACCCAGAGGCCCTTAACCACTGAACTGCATCCTCAGCCCTTTTCCTTATTTTTTGAGACAGGGTCTCACTAAGTTCCTCACTAAATTGTTGAGGCTGGTTTTTAACTTGCAATCCTTTTGCCTCAACCTCCCAAGCCACTGGAATTACAGGTGTGCACCACTGTGCCCAGCTTTTTCATGGTCTTTTTACAACTTAAAAATGCAAAGAATCCTTCGCAATAACCTTGGTTACACAGTAAGATAGCAATAAATCACAGTGTGCACTGACCATCCAAAACACAGAAATATATAGAAGCAATATTTGCTGATATTTTTCAACAGTGAAGTTAGAATTGTTTTGGAAATGTAATCAGTATGGAACAATCACTCTGAGTCTCTTTTATCACTAACATGAGAAGCATAAGCATAGGCAGGAATTATTACCTGTGGCAACATGTCGTCCCATTCCAAATATGGCATAGATGATGGCAGGAAACAGAGACCCATATAAACCAAACACTGGGTGCACAGATGAGAGAATAGCAAAGGCCAACCCTGTGAAGAAGACCAGAATGATTAGGACCATCTTATAACCTCAAGATATAATCCACGATTGAGGCCAAATGAAATAATTTAATAGTTCTATTTATTCAACCAAAAAATCTGGCATTTTTTTCCTAAATGGGAGAAAATTACTCATTAGTTCAAATGTGTGTTCAATTAATGGTACAGTGACTTGGCTAATTCATGAACCTATCCATTTCCCATTAACTGGACCCTAGTCTATCTCTCAGGTATAATTTCTTAGAGTGGAAAAAAAATCAAGTGTGCTCCTTTGATGATCAAGTAAGAAATAATTTTTAATTATTAATTCCTCATAGATATTTCTGTCTATATAGTTTGTATGTTACATGCACATAGAAAATTTTTATAGACCTTTCTAAAGGACCACTGGTGATTTAAATATGAACAAAACATGAATTGGAACAGGTTCGTTAACGTGATCTTGTCTGTAGTTGGTCCCTGGCATTAAGCAACTACTATGTTAGGTTCTGACAAATCCATTTGAGTCTATCAATTTAACGTTGGACATCTGATTTGGTGTAAAGTACTATACAAGTTACAAACAGGAAAGAGGTGGCAGTAGAAATGCCTATACTTGAGGACAGATCATTATTCACATTATGGGGCCTAACAGTCTAGTTCCAATATCACTCATTTTTACTGTTGAACTTTTACATTTTAAATTAAATTAAATTTATTTTTAAAATGACCTTTGTAATCATACATAAAATATTTCTCAAGTAGTACAAGACACATTTTAGCCATGATTAAAATAGGTGAGAATTCTACCAAGGACCTTCTTCAAAAACCATCTGGATTGCTTGTTTATTGGTAGTGTATTTCTTTTTGTTGTTGTTGTTTGTTTGTTTATTTATTATAATTTGTTATACATGACAGCAGAATGCATTTCAATTCATAGTACACATTACAGAGCACAATTTTTCATGTCTCTGTACACAAAGTAGAGTCACACCAGTTGTGTCTTCATACATGTACTTAGGGTAATTATGTCCATATTTCTTAGTCTGAATGCAATAAAAGTGACTGCAGTGGAGTCGGTGGCAGAGGCTGCTCTAGAATGTCATATAAACATGATGAGAGTCAGCAATCTGGTTTGTAAGTGCTGGCATTTAAGGCAGGTCTTGGAACTAAGTTAGCACTAGAAGGCTGACTATCCCCTACCTCTTCACATTTTGGTTTAACTTTATAAAAAGTACCGTATTTAGCCTAGCGTTGCTAAAACAAAAATACTTCTCATTCTAAGAAAAAAGGGCCAACTACCAGTAATTCCATAAGAGAAAAAGAGCTTGGAATTTGGAGAAAATACTAACAATAAAACCCAATGAAAGGAAATTAAGATGCAATACTGTGCTACTTCTTTAATCAACAACTTCAGGTCTGGAAGAAAAGGAGAACTAGAGGTATTGTTCTAGGTTAGCAATTAGAAAGTAGGGATAGCTATCGAGTCAAATATGAAAGTGTCCCACAATATGTTCTCCCTCTTCCTTCCCCCAACCCCCTTCTCCTTCTCCTCCTCCTCCTCTTCTTCTTCTTTCTCTCACTTTTCCCTCCAAAACTTGTCTTTCTCGCTTTATTTTTCAGCTTATCTCACATATGCTCTCATTAAAAAAGAGTTGGTAGAAATGTCTGGAATCCCTTAACATTTGGCAGTGGGAAGATAGGAATCTTGAGTCACTCCAAATGGCCCATCAGCTACACATTTCATTTCCTCCCTGACATTCCAATCTTACCTCAGGACTTTTCATTTATAAAACCGATTAATTTGCTTCTTAGTTGTGCTACATCAGATTGTGTTTTCTATCACATACAATGAGACATTTCCAAATGACAACCTTCTAAAACTTGAGTTTGTCCTACACAAAATTTCTACAATGTTTTTGCCTCACTTTTATGGTCTTATGAAAATATAAATATAATATAAATTTAAATATAACCAAAATGTTAAGATGGGGAATGAATGATGGAATCCCAAAGAAGACTTCTAAGAGGAGGAAATGGTGAATAATACATGGGCAAAAAAAAAAAAATGAATGAGGAGTGGATGTTTGAGGAGTGAAGGTGAGGAGACTATTTTAGATTGCAGGATCTACTCAATGGCACAGAGTTCTACAAGAGCTTGCTTAGTTCTGGAATGCAGAGTCATTTGGTATGCTCAACTAAAGAGATTCACTTGAGACAGTGCCAAGAGAGGTTAACAACATACATTAAATAGTAAAGGATTTTATGTATTAAGATAAGTGGTTAAAAATTTACCTGGGATTCAAGATGGTGGAAGTTTTGAAATTTTAGGACATCCTCTCGCCCAGCTTCTTCTCGGTTCTGATAACCCATCAGATTAGAAAAGACATGGCTGGGCCAGGAAGGGGAAATTCCAGTAAAAGTTCATGCTACAACTTAGGTACTCAATTGCATGCTTTAATGCCAAATACACCAAACAAGAGATGGAACACGCCAAACAAGAGAGGAATCGGCTCATCTCTCCTCAAGAGCTGGAGGGAAAACTGGGATTTCACCATTGAGGAGAAAAAGGATGGGATCATAAACATGAGGTTCCTCAGAGAATGGCAGGCCCATTGACCTGCTGGAGTTCTGGGGAGGCCTAAGTACTGTGGCTCTGGAGAGGAACCAGTGCAGGGCATAGAACCCTTTCATGACCAGGAAAAACTGTTTGCTCAGTCCTGCCCTGAAAGAGAGAATCTGCTGTGTCTTGTACAGGTTCTTATTGATCCCTGCTTGAGAGATCCTAGCAACCAGATCTGTGTAGGTGGCAAGAAAATGTAGACCCTAATCATCATGAACTTAAAGATTCTCAAACTGACCCAAGGGAGGAAGGCCAAACTGAACATAGGAGCTAACTCTACCTGCAGAAAGAAAAAAAAAATGATGGCCTCAGAGACCATGAGAGGCTGAAAAAAGTAATAAAGTGTAAATTTTATCTCAATAAAAGTGACTTTTTTAAAAAAAAGCAGCAAGATCTCTCAAAGAAAAGTTAGAAAAATAACAAAAGTTGTACAACTTTCTAACATAAAACATCAATAAAAAGCTGTTGAAAAGTATGCCTAATGTCCTGAGAACAAATTATTATTTTGATCAGAGAGGTAAAAATCTCTAACCAGTTAAGCCTGGGATTCTTCCTATCCCTGAAGGCAGAGAATCTTGGCTTATAGGAATCAATGGACTAAGAGTGAGAGGATGATTATTCTCCAAGGAGCCAGAAAAGGAGGAAAAATAGGTAGGCAAAAAAATATCACCATATACACACCTTGGGAACTATCTTACAATCTTGTGCATTGTTGGTGAAAATGTAAACAAGCACAGCCATTATGGAAATTTGTGAAGTTCCTCCAAAAACTAGAAATAGAGCATGATGGCACATGCCTGTAATCCCAGGTGCTCTGGAGGCTGAGGCAGGAGGATTGTGAATTCAAAGCCAGACTCAGGAACTTAGAGAGGCACTGAGCAACCCAGTGAGACTCTGACTCAAAATAAAATATATAAAAGGGCTGGGGATGTGGCTTGAGGTAAAAAACCCCTAAGGTTCAATCCCTGGTACAAAAAAAAAAAAAAAAAACCTAGAAATAGAACTAACATAAAATCCACCAACCCAAGTACTGAGTATATATCCAAAGGAAATGAAATCAGTATATCAAAAGCATATATGCCCTCCCATGTTCATGGAACATTATTTACAATAGCCAAAGTATGGAATTAACCTGAGTGTCCACTGATAAATGAATAGACTTTTAAAAAATGTGTTATAAATGTGTAGGTGTGTGTAGCACACACACATACACACATAAACACAATGCACACATACACACACAAACACAATGCAGCTTTAAGAGAGAAGGAAATACTGTCATTGGCAACTACATGGATTAACCTGGAAGACATTGTGCTAAATGAAATAAGCCAAGCACAGAAAGATAAATACCACATGATCTGATCTATTATGTGGAATCTAAAAATGTCAAACTCATAAAGTTTAACAGAGACTAGAGGTGGCAGAATTATAGATGTTGGTCAAAGGATCCACAATTTCAGTTAGACAAGAGAAATAAATTCAAGAGCTCTACTGTGAATCATAATAATTATAGTAAATAATAACATATTATATACTTGAAATTTCTAAGACAGTAGATATCAAGTGTTCTCACTACCCAAAATGTAATACATGTGCTAATTAACATTATTTGGCACTCTCTAAATACACTATAAAGTTTTATTTTGTTTTGTTTATACCCAGCTAATAATATCACATTAAGTTTAAAGTGTCGAATTGAGAAAGTCCCTATTAACTCTTGATATTTCTAGGATTTCAGGAAATTTCAAGTTTTCTTGTGTAGAAACTTAGATATTTAAATTGCAAACATTAACTAGCCAGTGCCTTGATGATGTCTTTGTTATAGATCCAAATGAGGAGTTTTATTTTTATCTCTGTTAATGCCCATATTTTGTGGGAACTTCCCCTTAACCAGGTCTCACAAAGACTCTCCAGCCCCTCCAGCATCACTGTGCATAGAAGCATGACCCAAGGGAAGTTGGGCTGGGAAGAAATAGTGCTCTTAATCAATTTCTATTAGAATATTTTATTTTCAGACATTTATGACCATGTGAAAAAAATTGGACTTGGAAAGCGAAGATGTAAATGGGGATATAATATTGAACAAGATCAATATTAAGCAGGTATATGCAAGTACGAGTTTTTTACATGAATTACCGGAATGGTGGGAGAATGATTACTTTCCATTGAGAGAATCAGCTTCTAAGACAGACAAACAAGTAGAATGTTTTGTGAACATTTTTGAAAGTATAGAGTTTATTTCCTAAGAAAGAGCGATTGCTGAGGGTGCTTGGGAAAACTGGCCATGCAGATATTACTCAAAGTTCATGAGAGGAGTAAACATGTCACAAATGAGAAGACAGTAAGGGAAGGGAAAGATGATTGAGAAAGGGTGTAATTTCACATG